GTTCAAAAGATGGGAAGGTTTCCTTTTGATTTATCACACTTCAGTGATAGCCATGTAAACCCTGAAAAAGCATGGGTTTTCAATGCTTTTGTTCGTTCATATGGGAAGGAAACAGAGGAAACATTGATGGAAGAGCTTCAGAATTTGGAGAAGTTGCAGGGTCTTAATTGATCTACCCGGGTACACTCATCCCAACCCGGGTAAATAATTCAAGAAATTTTTCAGATGCCTAGAACTATACCCGGGTACACTCCTCTTTACCCGGGTAGGAACAAAATTTCTAAAAATACCCGGGTAGGGAGGGGTGTACCCGGGTAGGCTTGGTGGTCAACGGTCAAACAGGGGCAGATTGGTGTTATGTTTTCTGAGGGGGTTAAATTTTTGAAATAGTTTATAATCAAGGTCAAATCGGTAATTAATTAATAATAAAGGGTTATAAGGGTCAAAAAGCCCTCTGCAGTGGCTTACGTGACTATGAACCTGTTGCCATGTGTGCACACCTAACTCGTCAAGTGTTGTAGGCCTGTAGCGAGTTAGGTGACATGACATTTTGAAGAAAAAAAATCCGATTTGTGGCATTGAAGTAATTTTTCGTGAATAGTATGGTATTTTAGTCGTTGTCCCACGAATATAATTAACATTATTTATTGAAAAAAAAGTGGCTACACAGGAATAATTTTCCAAGAAATAAAACAATGAAATAGTTTTATTTAACAACTTACATTAGTACAATCAACCAATGTTATTAAAACCGGCTCGGTCATTGACCCGGTCGAGGTACTTGGTCACTGGTTCAACTAGTGGGTCACTGGTTCAACCGCATGACCCGATAATTATATGCAATTTTATAGTTTATATTAAAAAATTATAAATATACTCAAATATCTAAAAATAATAATAAAAAATTCAAATATTTTAATATAAAAAATAATAAATCACATATTATTATCCAATAAAAGATCAAACAAAATATAATGATCGTGATACGAGACTTTAGGTTAAGAAAACGACATCTCTAACTATAAATCAAATCAAAATTTTGTGCATAGTGCATAATTGAGATAATATTAGAGTTGTAGGTACATAACTTATGTAAGTCAATAAGCAAAAAAATATTCAAATATGTCCTTTATGATTATTATTTTTGAAAAGAAAATTTAGATTTTTTTTTGGGACCGGGCCGGGTCACTGGTTAACCGACCGGGTCACTGATTTTCATGAAAACCGACCGGGTCGGACTGGATCGCATCGGTCTGATGCATAACCGGTCCGTTGCTTCAACCGAACTGGTTATATGACCGATTTACCGGTTCTCGATTTCCGGATCGACCTGATCGGGTCGGTCCGGGTTTCATAACGCTGCAATCAACTAATATTAATATGTGTTCATAAAAAAATACATTATTAATCCGATTAACCTCGTTCAAGCATTATGTAATTCATTTTAGGAAACAATTATTTCGAAATCACTTTTTACATTTCTAATACTTAAAATTGAAACATAAAACAAATTCTTTGTGACTTGAGAACTACCTCTTATTATAAATAATTTCGTGGCCTTTAGTTGGACTTCTTTTGACCATTGCTCCACTTCTTGCACCATATACATTTTAAAATATTCTCCGCAAGACCACAACTATTATATATAGAGTTCATGCTCTCAGGTGCAATCTTTTCCTATTTTAAAAACAATTAAGACAAACCTACAGTTCCTAGATAGAATCTCCCCGTCAAATAGTCAATCACAGAGTTACGGGTAAGACATACTTGCGTGGACAACAAGCAGGAGTGTTCGACAAGGCACATGCAGTTGAGGTCCATTAGGTGAAGCTCGTAAGTGACCGATGAAGAATGATGTCTGAATTTACTATTGGCACTTGAGATTTGACCTGTAATTCAACCTTTATTTGGTGACTTGGTCTTCATCTTTGGGTCACTAAGTCTGCTTAATTTCACATTTGACAATTAATTCATTGTCGCACGCACGCACTTACCTAATCAATGACTAAACCAATGAAGTCAGGTCGCACGAGGTCAATATATAGCAATATAACCAAATGGTGGTGTAGTTTAGTTGCTCATGAGAGCTAAGTAGATCAGGTAAAAATACGTGTTCAAATTTTCTTAATATCATATTTGGGAGGAGTTTAAATCCTTAATTCTGAACCCGTCCCGAATCAGATTAATTGCAAAGTAATGAACCTATTAAAATATTTCAAAAAGAAAAAATATATAGCAATATAATACTGTAAATTACACGCGTTGTTTAAACAAAACATTTATAATTATAATTTTTGATTAATATATAAATATTTCATATATATTCGAATTATTTTATGTTACTTAAAAAATCATAATCAAGGAGCAATTTAGGAGTAATTTATATTAGGGTTTTATAAGAGTTATGTTGTAGGAAAAATGATTGTGTAATGTTATAGAGATTCTTTTTGCGTGCCTTACTTTTGTTTTTATTTTTTTACTTCAAAAAATGTGGGCCCCACAAAATGTTGTGTATATAGAAATTTTTTTTGTGTTATGTTAAATGATGAATGTAAAACCCTTTATATTATCAACAAACCAAAAAAAATTGGTAGCTACTAGCTAGATAACAAGCTAAACGGGTCCAACTCGTGACTATTTTTTATTTATCAAATTTCAGCTACAGATATAATTTTTAATTAAATAAAGAATTAAGATGAATATATATATATATATATATATATTATATTTTCTTAATATATATATACGGAGGTTATACTTGCAATTTATTTTTTCTTACCATCATTTTTTTTATTATTGAATTAAAATCAAATCAACGATTTTTACTTGACGGTATTTGATTTTGATTCAACGATAAAGAAAGTGGTTGTAAAAGATAGTAAGAAAAAATAGATTATAAATTTAATGTCTCTCATATATATGAAAAAAAGCGTTTATCTTGCCACAAGAGTCGTGAAATTGTCTTCAACAACTACAAAAATTACGTTGTTTTGTGAATTGAGAGAATTAATGAAGACTATTTTAAAAAAATAATTTATTAAACTCTCAAAATGACTTAGTTTTACAATTGCTCGAAATAATTTTATCTATGATGATAGGAGAAATGATATATATATATATATATTATAAATGAATGGTCCAATTAAAAAAAGAGAAGAAAAAAATCCCACAAACTCCATACATATGAAGTTAATAAAATTATTTCATACTTACAAACAAACATTAATCCTTTACCATTATTCATGTTTAGAGTTTTAAGTTTTAAATGATCAATGTGAGAAATGCGCATGCAAAATATATTAATATTAAAAAAGAAAAAAGTTCAAAAGCCTGTTTATGATTTTTTTTTGATATATCGACTCCAATTATTTTTTTGGAACAGTGACCATTTTGTCACGTTTGGTCAAAAAAATTATCAGACTGCCACGTCAACAATAAATTACCCCAGAACGCCACGTGCCATAATTCGCTACACAATGTAGCGAAATATGCTTGCAAATAAATTCGCTACACAGTGTAGCGAATTATGCCACGTCAGAATACACAGTCAGTAAAAATGACAAGTGTCAAGCAGATAGTAATTTTCTACACTGTGTAGCAAATTATGTTCGCGGATGATTTTTTGACACGTGTCACACTTTCGCAGGAAGAAGCTGACGTGTCATAATTCGCTACCACTGATAGCGAATTTCGTCTGCAATATGACCACGTGTCACAAAATTATTGGCCACAAAATTCGCTATCAGTAGTAGCGAATTATGACACGTGACAGTCTGGTAAAAAATACTGTTCGCGTGACATTTAAGTAAAAATTTTGACAAAATGTGACATTTTGGTCACTATTCCTATTTTTTTAAGACTAGTCGGCTCCAAAGATATCTCTATAGTTTCAATTTTTTGAGTTGGCTATGAAATTAATCCCAAATTAGTCAGAATTTAAACTCATTCTTGATTTGGATAAGCTTAGGTAAGTGTATTCTTGCGTCACCTTTCATTTTTTTTTTCTGTTTTTTTCAAAAACTAATCATTTTATTGTACATGTATTTTTTTTCCGAGTACTTTGAATCAGTTGTTATATCAAGAAAGAAAGGGAAATGTTACATATTTAATTTGCGGGTTACATTATTTCGTGTTATGTATATGTGATAAAATTGTAATGTAATTATGTTGAAGAAATGAGTAATTAATCGTCGTCAAATGTTATGGTATAAATAAAACAAATAGAAATTCTATTTTATTCTTTGACAACATTGCTCCACATAAGGGATATGTTGAAAAAAAATGTGAAAAAATGCTGTGTGTATTGCAGCATGTTGTGCTACCTCGCAGCGTGCAATCTAAACAATCGCAATCATGGAGGGGCCATTCGCTTCTCCTGATCTACACCTAGAAAAACAGAGGGTACGTGACGTCCACGTGATTTTCCACCCCGCTAATTTTCTATTTCAGCATTCTGCGTGTTATAAAAAATGTTAAATTGTCAAATAGATATATGGCTTCGTCTCATTTCGTCAGTAGATAATAATATTTAAGCTAAAGTAACAAACGAGCACTAACATATGATGACGTGGATCGATCCAGGCCGTCACAGCAAACCCACATCGCAGGGGAAACTTTCGGCTGCTTTGAATGCTTTCCCAGTCCCAGATAACTCTTACCCCTTAAATTATCGCGATATTTATACTTAACCGCGTTGCATGATATAGAAGGAATGGAGGTTCCACAGAAGCGAAGCCACGCGGCAACTCGACATTGATTATCGTAATTATGAAGCCGAATCAACCCTAAATCCAAAAATGAAATTCAAAAGGGGAAGAGAATAACATTGTAGTGAGATAAACACGAGAATTTGAATAGGGTTCCAATGCAAGATTCGGGACCAGGGCCCAACAAGCCCAGCACGTTCCTCCTCTACACCCCCCCCCCCCCCCCTCTGTCCCGAGTCCCGTATATAAATTGGCTTACGCATTCATGCAATTCTCGCCCATTCCCACCTCCTATAGAGCCTTATCTTTCTCTCTTTCTGTAACGTAGCCCAGAATTATTGGTGAATCATTTAGGTTTTTACTCTGTATTCGGCGTTTCCGGTATTTGCTGCCCCATCTTTCTGCATTCTTGTTTTAGATCTCCCCTCTGTTCGTCGTCAGAAATCTTCCTCCTGAGGGGTAGTTGTGGGGATATCAGAGTTCCGTAGGGAAGAGAGAGAGGGGCTCTCCGTTTTCAATACATCTTTTACCGTCTTCTTTTGAGGGGGTAGCCGGGGCCTCGGCCTCGGCGGGTTTCAAAGCCCCCATCTTCACAGCCCCATACTCTAAACCTAAACACTAACCATTTTTTTTTTTAATCTCTTTTTAAAATTTTATCTTCTTATTCAAATTGATCGTTGCCGAAGAGATGCCGGCGTTGGCTTGTTGCGTAAATGCTGCAGCACCTCTCGGCTACGCATTTGCCGGTGACATTTCGTTCAATTTTCCCGGCGTAACTCCGGTTACTAGCGACGACAACCATTGGTCGCCCTCTCTCTCCGCCGCACTCTACAATATTGATGGGTGGGGTGGTCCCTACTTTGGCGTCAACTCCTCCGGGAACATCTCTGTGCGTCCCCACGGTTCTGAGACTCTGTCCCACCAGGAGATTGATTTGATGAAGACTGTGAAGAAAGCCTCGGATCCCAAATCTTGTGGGGGTCTTGGGCTTCAGTTTCCGCTCATTGTTCGGTTCCCTGACGTTTTGAAAAATCGTCTGGAGTCCCTTCAGTCGGCGTTCGAATATGCAATCGAGTCTCAGGGGTACGAGTCTCATTACCAAGGGGTATACCCGGTGAAATGCAACCAGGACCGGTTCGTTGTGGAAGATATCGTCAAATTCGGTTCTTCGTTCCGGTTCGGTCTGGAGTCAGGGTCCAAGCCAGAGCTCCTCCTGGCTATGAGCTGTTTGTGCAAAGGCAACGCTGAAGCCCTTTTGATTTGCAACGGCTTCAAAGACTCTGAGTATATTTCTCTGGCTCTGGTTGCGAGGAAGCTGGCGTTGAATACTGTGATTGTTCTGGAGCAAGAGGAAGAGCTTGATTTGATCATTAAATTGAGCAAGAAGCTTTGTATTCGTCCCGTGATTGGTATGCGAGCAAAGCTGCGGACCAAGCATTCTGGGCATTTCGGAGCGACTTCGGGGGAGAAGGGCAAGTTTGGACTCACCACCGCTCAGATTTTGAGGGTTATGAAGAAGCTTGAACACGCTGGCATGCTGGATTGCCTGCAATTGCTGCATTTCCACATTGGTTCTCAAATTCCTTCGACTACGTTGCTGGCTGAAAGTGTGGGAGAGGCTGCGCAGATCTATTGTGAATTGGTTCGGTTGGGGGCTCATATGGGAGTTATCGATATTGGAGGTGGTTTGGGCATAGACTATGACGGTTCAAAATCGAGTGACTCTGATGTCTCTGTTGGGTATGGTCTGCAAGAGTATGCTGCAGCTGTTGTTCATGCAGTTCAGTATGTCTGCGATCAAAGGTCCATCAAGCACCCTGTAATCTGCAGCGAGAGTGGCAGGGCCATTGTGTCTCATCATTCGGTGTTGGTTTTTGAAGCTGTTGGTGTCAGCACCCACGGAGCACCCCCGGAATTGTCCTCCCTCGGACTTCAGTATCTGGTGGAGGGGCTCTCGGAGGATGCTCGTGCAGATTATCGTAATCTATCTGATGCGGCGATTCGAAGCGATTACGATACCTGCTTGTTGTACTCGGAGGAGATGAAAGAGCGATGTGTTGAGCAATTCAAGAAAGGGATTTTGGGTATGGAACAACTCGCCGCAGTGGACGAGCTGTGTGATTTGGTGAGGAAGGCTGTTGGGGAAGCTGAACCTGTTCGGAGATACCACGTGAACCTTTCTGTGTTCACGTCAATTCCTGATGTGTGGAGCATTGATCAGGTGTTTCCCATAGTACCCATTCATCGCCTGGATGAGAAGCCTTCCGTGAGGGGAATTCTCTCAGACTTGACATGTGACAGTGATGGGAAGATCGACAAATTCATAAACGGTGAGTCCAGCTTGCCGCTTCACGAATTGGAAGGTGGAGATACAAGGTACTATCTGGGAATGTTCTTGGGTGGGGCTTACCAGGAGGCGCTCGGTGGATTCCATAACTTGTTTGGTGGCCCCAGCGTTGTGAGGGTGTCACAGATCGACGGTCCACATGGCTTCGCTGTCACCCGCGCGGTGCCTGGGCCGTCCTGTGGAGACGTTCTTCGTGTGATGCAGCACCAGCCGGAGCTCATGTTTGAGACGCTCAAGAACCGTGCACAAGAGTTTGTGCACGATGACAACACTATGCTCGACGCTGCGGCTCTGGCTACTGGCCTCGCCCGCTCCTTCAACAACATGCCTTATCTGCTGCCTGCGCCATCATCTTCCTCCTGCTGCATAGCTGGCCTATGTACAAGTGATGGTGCTGTTGTCTCTGAATCTGCTGCTCCTGTCGGAGAAGATGAGCATGAGCAGTGGTCTTATTGCTGTGCTTGAGTTTGGTCTTTTAACTTTTACTTGTTTGCTGTTGGTTGTCGTCGTCTTTTATATTCTTCCCGTTCTCTTTTTCTTTGTTTTTTTAGTTTAGCGCAGGATGCAGGAACTCCAACTCAGTGTCTTCTGCACTATGTTTCGTATTTTCGTTGTCTTAATCTCTATGTTCAAGTTCTAGAGCAACAAATTTTTATTGTTGCCTTGATTGTTATATTTAGAATAAAATTGCTGTTATTGACAAGTTTTAATTTTCACTGTTTCCTTATTTGAATGTGTGTTTGATCATGCTTGGTGATATAGGACGAGCTAGGGTAATAATAGAAAAAAAGAGAGGTTGATTCGGATTTCATTATGGTTTGTGGATGCCTTTTTAAAGATGTTTTGGTTTGTAATTCCTAATATGGTTTGTATTTCCTAATTTGGTTTGTATTACGTAAGACCTCAATGGATATGTTACGTATTTGAAGTTAAAGTTTTGTGATTCCGCCCCCCTTACAGACGCATTAATTCACGGAGAATCAATCTTCAAGACTCTATAGGAACAATGTATTGGCTTTAGCATAGAATTCTCGTCAAATGGATGTCAATAGAAATGATAGGAAAGGAATATTAAATGAATAAGTTCTCGCATGCTAAGCATCTACACTTTTGGGTCTTCCTTATCAACAGAATATCGCATAGGGTAGCAACAACTTTTCTGAAAGCACTCAAAGCAGTGAGTCGGCAAAATAAAGTAGAACGGTGAGCATCTGTTAATTATTCTGTTATGCTATTTACAATAATGAATTGATTTCCCATCATCTGCTACCTTTTGTACCTCGATGTTCTGTATAGTGTTCATGCTTCTTTCATCAATGACGAATGTTTTCATTTCATGACATTAGGATCGTGCATTTATGGACTTTTTCCTAGTACTGCAGCTTGTTTAGGAGGCAGAACTCAACATTTTTAAAGTGGGGAATTTAGTTGAATGAATGGTTGGGATATCATGTACCACCACCTTTATAGACTTTAAATTGATTAACCATAATGTAATATTGCTAGATGCAATATTCATTTTCCTGAATTGAAATCACGGATTATAGTCAAAGGAATATTTGCAAGGCATTTATGTGTCTATCTTGTCCTGCTTTAGTGCCAAGATAAAATATATACAAAAATATTAAGTTGTGTCTGTGTGTATAGGGAGGTCCTACTAGACCTAGGAGAGAATGGGAAATGCGAATATGTGCTATTGAACGCCTTGCACATCCGACAGTGATAGTGTGTATCTTATTGTTCAGTGATTAATTCTGTGTAAAAGAAAATGATTCAGTACCAAATGATGGTAGTTCATTTGGCGCATGAGAGCTAAGCATATGGGGGGGTGAGAACATGTTTTCGATCCTCTCCAGTATCATTTTTGGAAGGGATTTAAAGCCTTAATCCTATATCCACCTCGAATTGAATTGAACTAGTCATCAACCCGATGAAATATTTTCAAAAAAATAAATAAAAATGATTCAGTTACCAATTGTTAATGTAGCCACTAGCCAAATAATTTGTTGAAAATTCTCTGCGAGAACCTTGTCATGAAAAATGTTGAAGTGGTATTTGAATGCTTATGTTTCTATTATGTTCCTTTTGAAAGAAATTTGAGATTGTTTGAGCACAGGGGGTCAATCAACGGCTTGATGGAAAAACTGGAGGCTATTATTCGTTAACAACGCAGGAGTTCTTTAGCGAAAGGTAGAGATCAATTTCAGAAGGCTATTGAATTTTGTTTTAAGTAGAATGGTTAGGATTATGTCCCAACATTATCACAATTAAAAGTAATAGAAATATTTGTAAACTAGTTAATGATATTGACTTATTATGATATAGCTGTATCCTCAATACTCACTCAAATCATCGCTGGATTATTCTTCCATGTTTCTTACGGCTTACTTTAAAATGAATAATATGGTCTCATCCTCCCTGCATAGGAATGCATGTGTGTAACGCAAGATAATCCTCTCATACTCCCTGTATCTCTGACTTTGATATTGTGCCCGTGTTCGACGGTTTGGGCAGTAGCTTGAGGATTTATGATCAAGAATATGGTAATTGGTAAGAGTAACAACCCAACAAGGATGAGAAAAAAGGACAGAAAGGAAAGGAGTTCAAGGCACAAATATTCGGATTAAAAGGAGAACAGCACCCACGGGAAAATATCATGAAGTTAGTATTTATTCCTTCTTTTTTTGGAATACAGTATTTATTCCTTTAGTATTATTCTTGTTTGAAAAACTATGCTTACCCTTTTCAGCTTTGTTATTTTTAAATAAATTCTGTGTAAGGTCTGTAAGTACATAAAAACCGTTAATTTCTTAGATAAAGAAGAAATTGAGATGTAAGAGATTACATAAAAAAGAGATGTTGATGTAATTCCTCAAACAAAAACAAAAATATCAGTATAATAAATTTTAGTTTTAAGAGAAGTTAGTGCAATTACTGAATTACATATTATTTAATGTTGGAAATAATTACATCCCTTTGTTTGAGAGTTTTTGATAAATACTTAAAATGAAGAAAAATATCACATGCATTTTAATATGTTCACATATACCAACGATGAGAGATTAAATTTATTATAGTAGTATTACAATTTTTGAATGAAAAAGATAAAGCATCTCCCACTGTATACTTTTACATCTTTTATGTATAAAATAACAGTGTATCTTTTTTCTTTTTTTGTTAATCAACAGTGTATCTGTTAAATTAACTTATAAGTTATAAGATTAAAGTTGTAAGGTGCAATCCCATATTTCGCAACATTTATCATAGTTTCTTTTTTCTTTTTCTTTTTATTTTTTACATTTTCTGTAAGGAATATCAATTGGGGAGTAGAAGAGTGGGATTGCAAGAAGTCCTGAAGGAGAAGAGAGGAAGTTAAGATAAATCTTTTCTGCTTTGACTCATCCAAATTGCATCAACACATAGCGCATGAATTGCAACAAGATAATTCAGAGTTCAAATGAAATCAAATTCAAATACATGTAATACGATAATCCGATAAGCAGTTTTAAAATAAGGTTCATTCAGATAATAATAAGTTTTGTTTGGACTCATCTACTTCTTGGTGTTTTTAGACATGTTGTATAGTTAACGTGGTAGTCCTGTTGGATCTGAGCCTGTCAGTGAGTTGCTTCGGCCAAGCAACAGTGCGGCCCGCAAGATTTTGATTATCAAAATAAAGATTATTTTTTATTAAAATACCTACGTATTTTTGTATTGACTTAAATTCAAAGACGAATCTATCAGTACAATATAAAATTAATAATAATTATCAAATTAATTTTCCCCCCTAAAAACAAACATTTAATTATAACGAAATAGATTTACTACATTTTAAATTTTGATTGTTTCCAAAAACATATAGTAAAAGAGTTTTTTATATTGTATTAAAAAACGCTTTGCATAATCTTTGATAGTATCAATTGAGTAAATGGGGTAGTATTTCGCGTCAACACGTATTTGACAATTACAAATATACTCAATATAAATATGACATGAATTTGAAATTAGGTTAAATTTTTTGATACGAACCCGACCCACTTAAACCTGTAAATTCAAAATGTATTGCTTATTATGCGGATTAAAACGACACAACACAATAAAAATAACCTATTAACTTCAAATTGCATTACTTATTATGAGGGTCGATACGATATGATAAAACACAAATAACTTGTTTACAGAATGACACGAATAACATATAAGAAACATAATACGATACAAATTTTTTCGGGTCAATTTTTGCCTACTCGAACACGACACTAATTTGAAACGGGTCGATCCAAACAATAATTTTTTATGTTGTGTTTGTATCATGTTAACGGGTCGTATCAAAAATTGTAACCCCTAATTATTTTTGAAGATATTTCTATCGATTCATCACTTCACGACTAGTCCGATTTAAGGCGAGTGCCAGAATTAATTAAGACTTTAAATCTCTCCCAAAGACGATACTGGAGAGGATCGAATACATGCTTTCACCTCCACCTACTCAGTTCTCTACGCTAACTTAGCTACTATCATTTGGTCACCCCTACTTATAACTCTGGAACTCTCTTACTTTTTTTTTTTTTGTTCTATCTATACCTTAGCTATTTTCATAATATTGATCTGTGAATTCTTTATCTTTAGCTAACATTAGCATAGTAGTGGTGCAAAGTTACTGCATAATTGTGGTGGAGAGAAAACAAATATAAAGTACATTGCATAACATATTTTTTGTTTAGACCACCAAATATATTTTTTGTTTTACGAATTCCGCACAAAAGAAATTTCTTTTTGAAAAAAATTCGTAATTTGTTCTTTGTATTTTGGGCCAATAATATTTTTAAGGGAGAGGTATTCTATGTTCGATCTTGCGTACTTATAAAGCTAAATGTACTCGCGACGCTACCCGAGAATATATACCATATAGATACAGTTATAGTACGGTGACCTTGTAAAACAAAATAAATTTGTTTTACAATTCCAATTTCCACACGTATTGAATTTCGTCTTCTCTGATCAAGTAGCCTGTGTTCCAAAGCTTGGAACTTGGAAATTTGGTCATCGACTATATTTTGCACTCTCTCACACGAGAAAGAGTAGGAAAGAAAAATGGTATGCTTTACACACTATTGAGTATCAAAACATTTTATCCTTGAAATTCTCTATTTCAACTCCATTAGCTCTAATAAGAATTCTTCATGCATCTTCTTCAATTTTAATCATTATGTATTTGTTTTGTTTTGACTCCTAATAGAATGAGCATGTTTTCAACTTGTTTTTTTTTTTACTCTTCTAGCTATATGCATTTAAATAGATAGTAAAATAGTACAACGTATTTTTTATGCTGGCAGTTTTTTGACGGATATGGGTATCACGGGACATCATTCGAGCAGACATTTCGGTGTTACTCTGCTTCTTTTATAGAAAAGGTCAGTATCCCTTTATTCACCCGGCCAAGTGATACTCTACTCCAGCGACTAACAACGTGATGACTCTTCTATTGATGATTCATTTTTGTTCATGCTAATCACAACTGTTAAAATTCACTAATCTGTTTACTATTACGATAAGCTAAAAATACGTGCACAGAATTTTGTATTTTCTTTTGATTTTCGAGAGTCTAGTATCCTAACTACGCTTCTAGCAAACAAACTATGTAACGAGGTGTAAATTCAGATGACGGGAAGAATATTTGCACAGATTTGACTGATCAAATAGTATTAAATGTAACCCATGAATCATACTTGATATACTTTTTTTAAAAGAATTATAAATAGGAAAAAATATTTTATAAACTGCATACCTCTTATTCTTCTAAAAGAACTTGCATAGAGATCAGAGAAGAATTTTGATGGTCCTGGACTACCATTAATTCAGTGGTCCAAACCAATCAAAATGAGACAACTATTGAAGAGAAAGGAGAGAGAAGAAATAAAAAAAAAAATATACAAGTGTCACTCACTGAATGGAAGGACTACATGGGATCTGAAGCACCAAAATTTTTCCAGATGTAAAGTTCTGTATTATATACTCATATTGTATTGGTAGAGCAATTTAGTGTAGATGAGTCCAATGATAGACACATTTGTCAGCTTTGTTCATTTCCTCTATTTGATGTGTGCATAAATACCAAGATCTGGTGGAAATAAAGGCTTCTAAGCAAGTTGGAATAGTAGAAGGTAAAACTATGAAAGGTCAAAATCTGAAACTAAACCAGAGAGATTCAATGACTATGATCTTAAAGTGAAGTAAATACACTTAAAAGCTGCAAAATTCTTACTCATATTTATTTTGAAGAAATCTATTCTAACTATTACCTACATTTTTTCATGAATTCCGCAGCCCCAAATTGAAAGTGGTGATAAAAGTACGTTTCTACATTGAAGCCAGATTTGGTTATATATCCCGTACTCTTTATTACCTATCTAATGTACTCATTATGATTCTTGTTGCTTCAGTTATAATGCCTCCTTCTGCCCTTGACCGTCTAGGTTAGTTGTTTAGTTTGATCTGCTTACATTTCTTTCCTCTAATGTTGATGTCCAATTGACAAGTAACAAGGCTAATATCAAGTGTATCCTGCAGTATCACTACACATTGATTATCCAATGTTGTTTGAACTCAGAAATGGTGTTTCTGAGCGGGTTTCTCATTGTGGGGTTCTGGAGTTCAATGCAGATGAAGGCACTATATATATGCCATACTGGGTAGGACTATAGGAATTCAAAGTAATTTTGTGAGTATGCTAGTTGCCGAGTTTCAAGTTTCTTAATTCATGCTGGTTTTTAATTAGCTGTTCTATACAGATGATGCAGAATATGCTTTTGCAAGAGGGTGACACTGTAAGAGTGAAAAATGTTTCACTTCCAAAGGGAACATATGTTAAATTACAACCCCACACAAAGGACTTCTTGGATATTTCAAATCCAAAAGCTATGTGAGTTGATCTGTGATCGTATTATCGGATGCAAACTAGAGACAACTATAGTATTTACTGAGCGATGTATATGCAATATATTATCCTTCAAAAACTTATTATTGCTGTCACGTCAATTTAGTTATGGCTATCATGGAATCCACGGACATGTTTGTTCTTTAGCCTTGTTATATGTATTTATCTAGAGATTTGTCAGGCAAGAATAGAACTGGAATTTTTAGAATTTTGATATACGGGGGACCTTGAAACATCTATGATTCTCCTTTGTTAATGGTATAAGGGTAAATAGTCTTATAAGATGTTAGTGAATTTTTCACAGAAAATAGACGTCTTTCTAAAAGAAAGCAGAGTCCCTGTTCTCAAGTGATAGTAGGTATTTCTACTTGTTCTATGGAATGTTGTTAATTCCATCTACTGTACGTGAATATTACAAATCATCCACTTGTAGTTTATGCATATATATTGTCTACTTTCTTTTTAATCACTGATAGATATCATTTTAGATGATCATATTTTTTGCAACGCAGCTTAGAGACCACTTTGAGAAATTTCTCCTGCTTGAGCACCGGAGATACTATCATGGTGGCATACAATAACACAAAATATTACTTAGATATTATAGAAACAAAGCCCGCTAACGCAATAAGCATCATCGAGACAGACTGTGAGGTGGACTTTGTTCTTCCCTTGGATTACAAAGAACCTAAAAAACCCATTGCACCTCTTGCTAAAGGTGCATATTCCTGTTCTTAATGTGCCTCATTCTGTATATGATCTAGACTGTTCTTCATGAGGCTGTATTATTAACATGAAAATTTGACCAACTTTTTTGTTTCTCCTTACAGCTAAGTTCAACCCATTTTCTGGAACTGGGAGACGCTTGGATGGAAAACCAACTCCTCCTGTTTATTCTTCAGGGCCTACTGACAAGGGACCCTATGTTCCAAATGTCAATTCATTGTCTTCTGCAGCATCTAGTTCACCAAGTAGCGCTCGTCCATCTCAGGGAAAAATAGTATTTGGATCAGATGTTTACCGTGCTAAAGAAATGGGAAAAGTAATTCTGCTGCTTTTTGCAAGTTTTCAAATCATGTGTAACTTTAGTCTTCTGCTCATGCCCCTTGCCCTTTCTTAAGATAAATTAGTAGATTGCCAACTAATATCATATTTCTTATTCTTTGCAGGAAAAAACTCAGTCAAAACAAGAGCCACCCCATCAGAAACAAACAAAATTTCAGCCTTTTATTGGGAAGAAGTATTCCCTAAAGGGTTGATTGATATAAAATCAAATGCCCTGTACTTCTGTAGTAGTTTATTAAGCTGGCCCCTGTATAACTCAAATAATACAACAAAACTTAAGTATTATATATTTTTCTTCGGTAATTATAAGTTAAAGGGAAGGGGGCTCAACTCCATTCAAATATCAGGGGGCATACCATAGATATTAGTCAACAGTGATACTTGTAGTGTTATGTAATGTTTTTTATAATGAGTAGATAGAACAGAAGAATGCCTCAGCAAGATAAGTACATTGTCAGATTTTTACCATCCAGATCCATCCTGGTAACCTTGGCTTCTTTTTCTCACTCAATGTCACGTCGATTGTGGCCCCGAGGGTAAGATTGCTTGTTAGTAAACAGGCCATGTTCCTCAAATAAAAGGCCTGGCTAAAATATTCACCGGATAATCTACTATAGTGCTGTAGTTTGATTTTAGTTCTGAAAAGAAAAAGTAGTTGAAGAATAAAATGTACAATATATAAATGTTAAAGGATTTAAGTGTGGAACAAACGCATCATGCTTGATTGTAGTTGATTTTAAGAATTACCGCACTGAAATTGTGACCAGAATCTAAAGCACTATACTGCTCCTCCCTTGGATTAAGAAGAACCTGAAAAGCCCGCTGCATTTCTTCCAGCTAGCATGACACTAGAGAAAACTTTTACTTTCACTTTTGACACGCAGTTCAAAATTTCCAGAAGATATTACATAATTTCTTATCACATTATAATATTATTACCAGATTTAGTTCCATAAACCTATGCAAAACCATGTTGTGACGGGCCAAATTGAGGCTATCTTGTATATGACCCATGAGCATAGATTAATAGTCTCAGCCACATTTTTTTGGTGAGAATCATACGAAAAACCATTATATTAATATTGTGGGCTTCTAACTTCATAGTATGCTTCAAGCAAAATAAACGAAGTCAACTGAAAAAAAAAGGAAAAAGAAAAAGAAAAAACTACGGACATTTGTTTTAGCCTAAAGACACCCTTAATCAAAACCTAAATGAAACCATTTATGTCAGATATGAGAAAATATAACACTAAAGTAGTCCTTAATGCATTCAGAAGCTAACTGATCAAATAGAAATTCATGACAAAGCATGACCAACCATGTCAAGATGGGAAAAAAAAAAAAACACCGACTGAAGTGCAGTTACAAGTTGAACCATTTGGGGATAAAGGCTTAGACTTTGCAGCACTCAGGGCATCCTTTGAAATTATCTGTATTTCTAATAGCAACATAAGAAAAATAAAACAAACACTTAGTCATAAAACATGCCAGATTTGAGCTCTTCAGAAATATTTTATTTTTAAAGCCAGATTCTACCTTCCTCCCTGTTCTATAAGATTGGCAGCTCTACACCGTTTATTTCTGCAAGAGGACGACAATGTCAATGTTGAACCAAATACTCTTCGTGCTTGGGAACCTTAGTCCCTAGCTTTTGCAAATTGAAAATCGGAACGCAAGACGTTCGTGTCACTGCTGAGTCCTGAAAACCAGATTTTAGAGATTACTGAAAATAATAACAAGCCTATAAGGTTAGTCTCTTAAAATTTGAGTTTGTGCGTGAATTTCTTTGGATATTGTTTACGGAGGAAGGATAATCTTACAATCCATTTTCTTTTACAATTTTTTATAATTATATGTTATCACTGTTGATTTTTGTTAACTAAGGATGATTATTTATTGAGAATTAATGATTAATTAATGAATTTGATTAGCGAAAATCAACTATTAAGAGATGGTTGTAAACAAAAATAGATTATAAGAATATCATTTCTCTAATACATCTCTTGTTTTTATTCCTTTCTATATATTTTTATTTTTATATTTTTTAGGGTTTATAGTTTCTTCATCGACAAAAGATGAATTTATCTCTATCAATCCTAAAATTACGTTGTTTTGGGAACTACGAAAATTATTAAAAAGTATTTTTGATAATATTTATATAACAAAAATAATTAAATTACTAAAATATCCTTCATTTATTCCACTACTCCAAAACAACGTAATTTTAGGATAGAAATAACTTTATCTCAAGTTGATGAAGAAATAACCTTATTTTTAATAGAAACAGAGCACACAAAAAAAGATTTGAATATCTTTTCCCATTATATAGGAAAAAACGTTTCTCTTGTATAAGTTTATCTCCTACAAGGCTTCAACCCCTACATTGTTTTGAGAGTTGGAGAAATTAATGAAAGGTGTTTTGATAATTTTATTTATTTTTATTATATAAATTTTACAAAAACATTCTTCATTAACTCTCTTAACCCTCAAAACGATGTAGTTTTAGGGTTACATCAGATAATTTTATCTCGACAAGAGAAAGAATAAACCCATTTACATATTTAATAATTTTTTGACAAGAACTAATTTATATTTATGCTTCCTCAAAATAATAATAATTGAATACCATACTTAAAAAAATAATAAAATTAAAATAAGGGAGAAATTATACTTAATTACTTACTACTAAGTAAGTTTACCACCTCTTATTACCTCTTTTATAACTGTCGAATGAAATCAAATTAATGAATATCATTTGATATAAAATTTTTTCTCTCTCTTCAACCACTTCCCCCCACTCTCTTTTTCACTTTTTCCTTTCTATCATATTTTGCTGATCACTATCTAACGGTTACAAATAACAAGGTAGTAAGAGGTGGTAAAGTTATTTGGTAATAACTATAACTTTCCCCAATAAATAAATGCTTTAATATTGTTTTTTTTAAAATATAATTTGTAGAGTTATACCCAATTTGTATTTCTCAATTCTATTTATATAATATAATTTCTGTAAGATTTTTTAATTTTTTCTAATTAATATTTAAATTTCTATTTTTTTTATTTTTTCAAATATTTTAAGCAAACAACAATCAAAATGCACTTGCTAGTATTAAAAATAACATTATTCGTCTTTCAAAAATAAAAATAAAAATAAATATTATCAGCAATTAGGTATGAACTTGGTTGAGGCCCATCAGGGTCCAACGTTGAAAAGGAAGACTAAAGAATTCATTTCAATTAACTGGGCCTGGCCCATATAATTGTGATGTTCTTCTATTCTTCGTTTTACGCTGTATCACTGTTTAGCCAATACGCATCAATCGAAGAGCAAAGAAGTGTGTATGGCGAGTGGTGCGAGTGTGATGCAGCGGTGCGGTGTCGCTGCGAGGTGGTTGATGACGGCGGAGAGGCCAGCATTAACAGCGGCGTCGACGCCGGCATTAACAGAAGCGTCGACGCCTGCTCTCGGCTTAGCAGTGCCTCAATTGTGCGGGCGTGGGGACAAGAAGACGAAGAAAGGGAAGAGATTCAAGGGATCGTACGGTAACGCTAGGCCGAAGAAAGAGAAGATGATCGAGCGCATCAAGGATAAGGTTGAAGTTTCCAGGTCTACTCCTTGGCCTCTTCCTTTCAAGCTCATTTGATTTCCGCATATCTCTTCCTCTCTGCGTGCAAATGCTAAATCTGTTAGTTCTAGTTCTACTTCTAGCTCTTGAATTTCTAGGGTTTTGTCCTCATGCGTCGGTGATCGATCTATGTACTTTCATCAAAGTTTTCTACTGAATAGTATTTTAATTCCGCTGCTGATTGGGTTTATTTCCGAAATTTGCCTTTTATTTGTTCGGATATACACTCATGCACAATAATTCGCGTTTCTTTGGTTTTAATTTTATCATGAAGCATATAAGAAGACCAGGTATGCTTATAGTTTAAGCCTTTAAGGTAGGTATATTATATGCTTGTAAATTTATAATAGATAAGAGAATTGGCTGTGTTGGTAGGTTATATGGTTGTAAACCAGTCTTTCTCACATATTTGGATAGTGCCATTTGCCGTGGTTTATGGCTAAATCCTGAATCCAGTGTCCTTATTGTTATATAAAGACAATTTAATTGTTTGGCTGTGAACTGTGTAGTCAGCTTATAGTTGCTGCTCTTAATTATGAAAATCATTAGTTTGAGGTGTCAAAAAGGCTTATTGGCAAAGTCTCAGGCTGTGCGGTGCGGAGCATATCCGCAATAGACTTTTATTATTTATACCGGGAATCCTGGACAGTTATTTTACTGGGAATCCTTTCTTAGAATTTCCTGGAAGGCATAGAACTCTTGATTTATAGAGACACTTATTACTAGTAGTTTACAGAGAGGCCTTCTCTTTGGATCTGGTACCATCAGAAAGTACAGATTTTTGGACTGAGTGGTTGATTTCTGAATTGCAACTTTGGCTGAGAGATTAGAGTGCGTAGCAACTTCACTTGGTTATAGAGGAACTTTCGATAAAAGAACTCGATATAGAGGAGGTTTTGATCCCCTAACCCTCATGTGAAATCAGTACAAAGCTAAGCACAGCCATGCTATATGGTCTAGTATATTTATATACTGCTCTTTATAAATTGTTGTTGGGTTCATTTGGAATAACATTTTGAGTAGATTACTGTTCCCTTGCATTTTTGGTTTACTATATAAACCTTCCCGCTATTAACAAATTCTACACAAATACTTTTTTTGTATAAAAGTTGGTAAAATCCTCAAATCCTGCCACACCTAACATATTTGTTGACTAAGCCGTTAGCTCATCTGCTCATGGATGTTTTGGGGTAACATGTCATCATATCTTTGTTTACCCTTGAGAATTGAGGAAGAAGTGAAGAAAACATTCGTTGGTGCAGTTGAATTGAAGGTTCAGTTTTGTGCCCAATCATTTGAGTCGTCAATCTAGCTATACCAAATGAATGAAGTTTTTCCCCGTTTTTCAACGTATAAGACTGACTGAATCTGAATGAATGGCGTTTGACCATAACTATTTCATGAATTAACAACCCGGTTAATGAGTTTTTTAGGTCTAATAGCATTCTGATAGTATATTATGATTTCATTTGCAAGGTACGAGAGTTGAAATCCCACATTGGTTGTATGGGCAACTAATGTGGGGTTTATAAGGCCTTGGGCACTCCCACTCTTTGAACTAACTTTTGGAGTGGTGCATCCTAGGGTTCTTATCAAATGGTATTAGAGCCTTCCACAATGTCTTCCGGTTGCAATCGAGCGGCGCGGGTGGTGACACCGGTATTGCAGTGTTCGCCTAGTGCTAGTAAAAGACTAGCGCAAAGCCAACCCGCGTGAGCTCCGGGGCTGCGGAGCGTGGTAGAATATTACGATCCCATTTGTAAGGTATGAGACTTGAAATCCCACATTGGTTGTATGGACAATTAATATGGGATTTATAAGGTCTTGAGCACTCCCAATCTTTCAGCTAGCTTTTGGGGTGGTGCATCCTAGTGTTCTTATCATAGTTTTTGCACGTTCTGGTAGGCTTATTGTTAATTCCAGTGTAAATACCTCACTAGAGCATGAATATTGTGATCATATATTCACAAACATTATTATTTGTACTTTGTAATTTGATTGATAATTCCCTCTGCTTTGGTAATTCATTTGAAAGACTGAAAACTGGAAAAGTAAAAAAGAAGCTAAAGTTAACACTCTTTAGGTTTTCCAAGGGAAAAAAGTAGTTCTGGATGGCATCACTGTTTTCATGCGTTAAAATTTAAAAGTAGCCAGCGAAGTTTTTTTTGTCTTGAGCCTGTTATAGCCGACCAATTCTTGATACTTCGGTTGCGTTATTCCCTACCATTCATATTAATTCTGATTTTGAAGGTGGTTCTTACTCCAGATACGTAGAAATATCGTCTGTGTTTAGAAGGTGAGAAAATAAAGAGCATACATGTATCTGTGTAAGCATTGAAGTCTGTATCTATTGCTTCAATGCAAATAATTAAAACAGAGAGGATAGAAGGGAGAAAATACCCTGTTTGCAGACTTTTGCTTGTTCTAGGGGAACAGCGCTCAATTTTAACAAAACTAGACAGAAACGTCAACTTTCACTTTTAGGTTGCTACTTTGATGAGCATCAGTTTCCTCTGGGAGTTGTAGCTCCTCTGACAACCTAAGAAACAAGTCCGAGATTATAGGAAGCCCCAAAGACAAAAGCAAGAAACCGAAAAGCATAATCAACGATCCAATGCGTGAAATCAGGTGGCCGTATAGCGGGTGTCGTGGTGGTTCAGTTGTGGCTTGATATCCATAGCGAATGGTCCATAATAGCAAGGCGATGGCAATGAGAACCCCAATTACTCGCAATGATGTTGAACGGGCACCTGCAGTAGTGGTGTTCGAGAACATCTTCGTCATTTTAGTTCTGGTGAGTGGTGAGCTGAATCTCCATTTTGTAAGGAACTCTATTGAGACACAAATGAACACAAAAATGTCACTAGTTTAGACGGTACAATCCGTGTCTGAATATTCTGATTGGGTGGGGAAGTATCAATTATCTTGTAGACTGAAGCAAAACCATAAAATAACCGTGGAAGACAGCCCCAGTTATTTATATGGAGGAGTTAACTGAAAAAAAATAAAAATGATTGGGGTGAAACTTATCAAATTATGATACTGTATTTTCAGCACCAAATAATGACTAGAATACCCATATAACAACGGGATTTCCGAGATATCCAATACGCAAACGACATATTTTCTATCTAGGAAGCATCTTCCGAGATATCCTTTTAATGTCCAATCCGTCCAAATTTTCATTCTTAAATTTTCATTTTGTTGTAAATGGTATAGGAGAAAGAGGGGAGCAAGTCTCGTTTTTGTATCGCGTATTTGGCATGCTTAACCAAACTACAAAATCAGATATCTCTCACACAACGTGGGCAACTTCAAATTGCATTTAGGTGAGTGTTTCAAAACATGCTTAGATTAAAAAAAAAAGAAGCAGCAGAAAAGTCAAAATATAAAAAAATATCTGAAATGAGAAATTATTGAAATACATTGGTGGTGTTTAATAAAGAGGGTGCAATATAAGTAAAAGAATTTATTCAATTATTGATAGTTTATATATAGTTGCCATACTATGTTTGCGCTACAATGCGTGCCACCAATAAGACAATATAACCCTTCCATTTTGATTGTTTGACCTTATTCTACGTGAACAAATAACACAATATAACCCCCTCACATTAAGGAAGACAGGATGTAGTTTTGTTCCTACTTCCTAGTATATAACAGTGAACTGTCTTTCGTAACAGTGACCTCATTCTACGAAGAATTGTACGCTATTCACTTACGTCGACTGCATATAACAGTGAACTAGTGAAACTGTCTTTCATGGGGCTGTCCCCTTTCCAGAATATCCGAACCGTCTTTGACGCTGCATTCGCTAGGAAGCCAGAATTTTATTATTTAACAATTTCTTCCCCGTATATCACGTATTATATTGCCGTGCTTCTCAAATCTCATGTAATAAACTAGCTCTGATCAACCATTATAATGGCGTGATACTAGCTCAATAGTTAACACTGTAAAATTCTTAATACCGAAAGTTTGCTCAAATGAGCATATGAGCCTCAAGATGGATGAATTGCTAACAGAGCATGGATTCGAATCCTGGATTTTTTAGATCAGAGTTGAATAATTATTAAGCTGCTTAACTTGTAGATATACCTAAGAAACCTGGCTCAAGGTCACGGAATCCAAAAATTGTAAGGTTACTAGGAAATGGGGAAGAGATCAAAAATGGGAATAGGCAAACGATTTATGAAACTAGTTTTGTTAATAAAGAACTCCGAACTCAGCACTAACAAGTACCAAAGACAGTATCAAAACATTCAATGTTTACAGGAACCATCTGATTCAAGGGTTGACCATCACTGAAGACATGGCGTGCGATCAAATTTTATCAACATTAGCATGAACTCAATCTGTATCAATTTATACTCATCACATAAGAGTAAATGAAGGTGATTTAATCCACAATCTGATTGCAAACCTTTATTTATTGCAAGTAAAAAAATTCAGGTTTCAGAGATCTTATTCTTCAAGGCCAAAATCATAAACTATCCCAATCTGCAACAAGAACATAATAGCAAATTCAGTCAGAAATAAGCATATTTCGATATATATATTGGAACAACTTTTGAGGATCTCATAACCAACAAAAGAAAAAGAATGAGGAACACGGGAATGCCAGCTCACAGGAAGGAAACCCTACTCACAAATAAAGAACATCCTACAATGCTTTTCAATATCACTCATCATATTTTATGTATATATCCAATCGGATCAATAATGGAAAACAGAAAATGACTTCATTGATTTATACAAGACCTTGATATTCTGTAACAAGGGGAGTACATACCCGATACTGGACTTATAAGAGGGGGGACCGGAAAGAATGATAGAATTAATAAGAGTAAATCTCTTTTTAGGTCCCTAACAAAAAATCCCGCTTTCGTCCCTTACAAAAAAAAAAAGGTCAACTTTTGGTCCTTCTACAATTCCAGTTCTTTGAAAATGTGGTCTCTCAGAAATTTAGAGAAAAAACCCAATTTGGTCCCAAAAAAAGGACTAATATGGGTTTTTTTTTTATAAGGGACGAAAATGGAGACCATATTTTTTGTTAAGAACCCAAAAGGGGCTGTACTCAATTAATAACTTCAAAAATATATCTAATGGACCTTGGCTGCACAGAAGTAAATTTCATAGCCTTCTTTGTCTTCATGATTAGATGAATATGACCACCTGACATCTCAGTTGGACTGTTTCGAACATTCCATAACTTGTTCAAAAGTGAAATTGACCACCCACCAATTGTACTCATTAGCGAGAAATTTTAAAAGGGGAATTAATGCGTTGTTAATTTATAATATTATCAAACGCAAACATTTAGTATGTAATGCAGAGGGGATGAGATACACTCATTTCCAGCTATATGTTCAGTGCATTTTCCAAAGAAAAGGGCCACAGAAATTTATACTGATTAAATATACACACACAGATTTGGACCATATTTGTGTGATACTCTCGCACAACAAGATCATCTGATGAGAGATATAGATACAATAACCAGGGAAGAAGAAAAATGTGGGGCCTTATGCAGGTATTTTAGGCCGCTATCAGAGGGCATTGTGTATATCTCTCTCATCAAATAAACTTGTCCTAAATTCCTGTAGTGAACCAATTTAGAAAATTAGAACAAAGGGATAGAGAGGCAAGGAAGTTGAGAATAGAAGGAAGAAGAAGCAATGCAGAAACAGAGTTGAGGGAGGGAGAGATTTTGGAATTTTCCTCATGCCATTTCATTACTGTAACTCCCCTAAATACCAAGTCTACTTCAACAAAATTGCTAATAGAAATTACAAATGAAACTAACATAAGGCACTGTCATAATATTAAAGGAAAATGAAATAAGGGAAATATTAGAACACTATACGATTTGGGACTTATGTTATGCCTTGTTATTTGGGCTAAGCGATTGCTACAATTTCACAGCTCTTATTTGTAAAATGTATGTGTGTACAATTTAATTGAGAAGTAGCAGGACCAACATAAAAAAGGAAAAGACAAACTAAACATATAACCATAATGACTTACCCCTTGAGGTGGAGCTGGGTTGCGAGTGAACTTGGAACCACCAGGAGCCCAAGGAACTGTTATGCATCAGAAAAACACGGTTAATTTCTGAAAGGGATTAAATAGCAAGACAGGAAAGAACTCTAATGAGTAAAATTTTACATTCTCTGGAAAAAGCATGCGTAGAAAAATCCAACACCAACACCAACACTAGAAAAACTTAAAAATGAGTGATACCTTGCCTTTGTGAATTGTGTCTATGCTACAAGGAGATAGTAGCTTCATTAAATTAAATCTTTCAAAATAATAGCTCTTTTTACAAGTTTAATAGTTGGATTACAGTGGCAATCTAAGATGCTGATTACTGAGAAAATACCAAATAATCTCATTACAGCAATGTCCTAAACTCCAATCAGCACGCTTCTAAAGTGCCCCTCACCAAACAAAAACGAGAGGAGTGAAGTTATGTTTAAAGGAAACATGTTTGGAATTTTTTAAAATTAAGGATATTAACATAATATTCAGATGGTTTTTAACTAAGCATTCTGTGGCGTGCTATAATTTCTTGTTAAGAGTGAAAGAAAGCAACAACGTGCCATACAAAAAAGGTTCAGTCACATGTTTACCTATATAAGGATCAGGATGGCGAAACTTATTGTAGGTTGCTTCAGCATCATCTATCATCCTATCAATGGTATCAAGGTCTTCCTGCATATGATATCCAACCAACACAAAGCACTCTCAACATTAGAGAATAGAGAAGCAAGCGAATAGATTTGGTAATTGCAAGGACTGTTTCACCAAATGGAATATGAGTGACACAACTTCCTGATCACTACACAGTCAACACAACAAACATTTAGGGTGCAAAATATCAGAAATGCAGCTCCCACCAATAAACAAAGAATTTGTCGCTTCAGAATGCTAAATCGAAGCCAAATTTTGAATTTCCAGAAGCGATTAATGGTAAGAGCAAGATGCGATGATTTGAAAGTTAAATGAAAAAAAGAGCGAAACTAACCACGTGTCTGTTTTCCTCGAACCTTTCGCGGAGTCTTGAAGCCTGAAGAGGGAAATAAGCAGAAAAAACGATCAGAGAAAAATTTTATTTTAAAATTGGGGATATGGAATTGAAAAGTGAGAGATCGGAAAAGGTACATCGTCGTAGAAGAGGTGACGATGAACGGCCCAGTTGAGAGTGTCTTTGAGGGCACGGCGGTAGAGGATCCGCACCCTCTCCTTCTGGGCCGCGCGTCGAGCAACGTACGCTACCGTCGATGTGATGCTCATTTCTCTCCTTCTCTTCCTTTCTCAGTTTTCACCCTTGCACTTAGTTGCACACAACGCAACACAACACAATCATGTCATGTATAATGTATGTACTCAGAACTGAACTCGGTAGCAACCAGACCCAGACATTGCACTTGCATTCACGACGTCGTATCTGAACATGGGCTTCCCTTACTGGGCTTCTACCTTGCCTTGGATAGTTGGATTGGATTCTTTCTTTTCGTGGGAAGTTCTATTGTTTTATCCACACATTGCACCCGGACCGGACTGCGTGAGCATCTATTGATGCACGGATACGGACACGGACACGAAACACGGGACACGAAACGACACGCTGACATATTAATTTTAAAAAATATCATATTTTGATATATTGGGACACGTTTGGATATTAAATAAAATTTTTAATGTATATAATATAATTTATATTTAATACATATAAAAGTTCATAATAAGTCATATAATCAATCAAATATTTAAATTTCATAACATAAATATAAATATAAATAATTTTTCGTACTTTGTTAATTTTCATATCAAATTTCATAACATAAAAAAATTAATTTATAAATTATTTCTTTTATATTTAGTTAATAAAATAAAGGGAAAAACATCTATCCTTTTAAAGGATATAAGCTTATATCATTTTAGATCCTAACCGTTGATTTTCGTCTATCAACGGTTATAATCTATTGGGTCAAACTTAATGGGCCGAATTTATTATTAATTAATTAATAATTTTGATCCAATAAATTATAATCGTTGATGGACGAAAATCAACGGTTAGGATCTAAAATGATATAAGCTTATATCTTTTAAAATGACAGATGTTATTCCCTAAAATAAAATTAAGATTCAAAAAAAAAAAAAAAAAAAAACGTGTCTGAGCGTGTCCGAACGTTGACCGCTGTCCGAAAAAGTTGACCGCGTGTCGAAAAATGTTGAAAAGTTGACCGCGTGTCGGAGCGTATCCGTGTTTTTTTTCAGATCCCATGTCCGTGCTTTGAATATATCTACGTAGTTAAATAGTTAATGAAGTAAATTGAGCGTACTGAAAAAAAAGATATGATATTTTTATTCTTTAATTATGATAATATTCATGTAATTAATGATATCTTTGTCTATATAATTATTTGTTTTGAATTTTTTTCTTCTTTATATTTTTACTCTTGCTTAGTCACTTTGATCAAATATTTACAACATACGATAAATATTTAAAAGAGTTCATATTTATATCATATATATATATGAAAACTTTACATGAAGTTGTATTAATATCTAATTAACAATGGTAAATGTTTACATCACACAAGGGTAGAAACTTTATACTAAAGCATATTAGTTTCTAAATTAAAGGGATAAATATTTATATCATTCGTAAATAATTTTTTTATATGAAAGCATATTTAATATCTAAATCATTAATATATATATATATATATATATATATCACATTAAATGAAAACTTTACATGAAAGCGTATAAGTATTTAAATCACATAGATAAATATTTGCATCACAAAGATTTAAATTTTTGCGATATAAAAGCGTGTATAATATATAGATAACATGGATAAATATTTACACCAGAAAGGTAGACATTCAAACATTTTAATTTTGTAAATCACAGGATTATAAATCACAGGATAAATATCCTTTGTCATTATTCATTATATTATCTGTTACAACGTCATCTCTCTCTTTCTTATCAGAAAATATCATGGATGTTTTACTATGAGCAACAGATCAGAGACTGCGCAAGCATTTTCATTTCTTCTGTGTGTGCAAGTTTCAACTTTTCGGTTCAGTGTGGGTTCAGAGATTTTCATGTTTATTTCGAAGGAAACAAGAATCCACGAGAAGAATGAAGATGATATGGGTTTCGTATCATCGGTTGGTGGCGTTCAGCATTGTTTGTTGCCTCTGTCTTTCTCTGCAACTCACAAAGGTTTCTTCAACCTCACCTGCTCTACACACTGACCTTGTAATTCTTCAACCTCAGCATGAATTTGAAGTACTATAGAATGGAATTGCAATTGTGTAAGGACTTGGTTTGATGTCTGGAGCAATCAATAGCTTAATGTGTGATTTTTCTACTTGAGAAAAATGAGAATTTCGTGCTGTGTTTTTATTCTTATTATGTTGCTACCTCCTTTTGAGTTTTAATATTGATGTGTATGTTTTTCAACGGATCACCGCAAAACTAGTAATATGTGCTATTTTTTTGGAATCATCTTTTTGCTACAAAGTGAAGCCCTGGTTTTCTTTTTTTTTTTACTTTTTTCCGAACTTCTGCATATACATATATATATATATATATATATATATATATATATATATATATATATAAACTTCCATGATAATATAAAAATAAAACTTCAATTGGTTCTTTTGTTTGTAACCGTGTCTATTACGAGGTTATTTTTGTAAAAGTATTACATATTCTCAGTAAAATTTTATCATCAACCAAACAAACCCTAGTAAAATTAATCAAAATTCTTGGTAAACGGTGTCTATTACGAGGTTATTTTTGTAAAAGTATTACATATTCCCAGTAAAATTTTATCATCAACCAAATAAACCCTCAGTAAAATTAATCAAAATTCTCGGTAATATTTTTGCATACCAAACAGCTTTTTTGTAAAATTACTAGTAAACTCATATTCTTACCATATTCCAAGTAATCATGATTCCCGAGTAAAAAAAAAATTTCCTCTACCAAACGCCTCTTAGAAAACTAATAGTTGTATAGCCAAGCAACGTGTGCTTCTAACAATATCATATACCATCACTGATTGACTTGGAAAATCGCTTAGGAAACTAATAAAATTCCCAGGCATTAGATAACATTCGCTAAGTGGTAGAGGTACACCAAAATCATAATGACAACCGCCCGAAAAGCCAAATTTAGTTTACCTAGCTTAATAGAGAAAGAAACACATACAATTCAATTCAATCTCAATGGAGGGCAATGTTCTATTTCCATTGACGAAAGAATGCTTAAGACGGAATTACATAATAAAATTGGTCTAACACTATACATGTATAGGCACAAAGAAGACCTAAAAAAGAGATGCCCCGCTATTTTTCCAGGAGTATGATCTACGGTGTGTGCCCTGGGGTGTGAAGCTAAGCCCAAACATCTCCTTCAGGGCCTTACCCTGCTTTATAAATCTGATTAATTTTGCCACTACTGCAGAACTCTCTATGATGTGGTTCATATGAGTGTTGCTCCATATGCGGTTGGCCAGCTGCATCCTCCTGCGCTTTGAATCCAATGCAATGCCCCACTTGTGGAAAAGATCTTTCCTCTCTTGCTCGGATAGCCTTTTCTGCATAAGCTTCACAAGCATTTCCCTCTCCCTACGAAGAGCCTTCACACTGTTTCTCCAAACAAATATATGTTAACATGAAGCAAGCAGACATGACCGCATAAGCACCCCCACCCTAAAGGCCACACTATACATGGTTGCATTAAGAAGATAAATGTCCATGTGATGCATTTCTTAACAGAAATTTTCATTAAATTTAGTATCAAAAAGTTTCCATTAAACAGAAAAAAATTAATTTTCATTGGCCATCCTCGCTTGCATTCATGTCTACTAGACGGATCCTTGGATGCAACTAAACCAAGTATATCAGATGCTCAAGTAAATGCAAGGGTGACAGGGAAAAGAGAACCTTGAAGTTAATGTGACTCTCTGACCATACTTAACAGACTGATATCGATTGGAAAATGTTTCTTTGAGGAAAGATAGTCTTCTAAGCTCCACCTCCATGTAAATAGAGTCTGTTGGATCACCGCTGAACAAAAGAAAGAAGTAGGTCCTGTGGAACAATGATACACTGCAGGTTTGCCACAGTTCAACTATCTCTTTTTGCTGCTTCTTGAATTGCAGGGGCCAATCTAAAGGAGTTCCAGGTGCCTCTAACATTGGATCTACACCTACATCTTTCACATTCTTCTCAAAATTAATCGGTTTTCTCTCTGTCTGCTGATCCTACAATTCAGAAAGTAGAATTTAGTCAAAAACATCAAACGTTAAGATTAATAATGACTTCCCAAATTAAATTTGTATACATCAAATGAAACTTCATATGAATAGCAAATACAAGTTACAGCTGTAACAGATATAATTATGTGAACTCATTATTTATGTATCCCACAAGTACCAATATACAAGTCTTGATACAGTAGAAGTTGCTAGTGACAAGGAAGAACCTCACACAATAAATATGGAAAAAGAATAAACAACAACAACAACAAGAGTAAAATTACCTAATATAACATAATCACATTCCGTATAGGTAACTGGTCAATATTGCATAATCAAGACTTTTTAAAGAAAACAGGAAGAAGCATAAGAATGGTTTCAGTTACTTAAAATAAAATTAATAGATTTGAAACTTTTTGTTTAAATGATTTATTCGCACCTGACCATCAACAAGCTACTTCTCATACTCAAGTTTGACCATTTCCTTCATCCAGTAACAAAAGTTTGGATGCTAGTAATATCTTCATTAGCAGATGTTCTCATGTTGTTGGTTCTTAACTCATCCACAGAAGGGCTTCCAATAGAAGATGGAGAACCATTCATTGACAATCTTGTGGAAGCACCGAATATCAATGGAAGGAACTTTCTCCGCAAATCATCTGGTCGTCCAGGGAAGCCTTTATCAAAAACATTGGTCGGAGTCCTCTCCATTTCCCCTGCTTTCTCAGGAGAACCAGTCATGTAATGTTCCCTACAACTCCAGCTCCTTGTTAATTTAAGATTCCTAACAGTTGACATTGTTGCTGACATAGCCTGTGGAGATTGTCCATCAAGGTAAGAACTTGCAAGAGAATCACTGCTCAATTGTACATCATGGGGTCTCTTCTCCAGCACACCACATGTTGAATTGTCTGGGTTCTGTCTCTCTTCCCCATCTTCACTCACAGAGGTCGATATTTCCTGACCAATTACATTTTCTCTCCACATAATGGTAATGCCAACACCCCATTGTCACGTACTGATGGAGCAGCATATTCCAAGTCATCTCTATTTGATTCCTCCAATTCAACACATTGAACTTCTTTGCA